GCCCCTTCTCCCTGGCACCTGCAGGCGACTGGGGAATTGGGCCCCCCTTCTCCCTGTCACCGGCAGGTACCTGGGGAATTGGGCACCCCTTCTCCCTGTCACCTGCAGGTACCTGGGGAATTGGGCACCCCTTCTCCCTGTCACCTGCAGGCAGGACAATCAGCTAGTGCTGCACACACCTGTGTGACTTACGGAGCCTGGGAGAGCTCGCTGATGCCAGACAGGCAGTCTCTGCATTCCTTGGACGTCCCCCGGGCTTTCTTTTGGGAAAGTCTCCTTTTCTTTCAAACCAGGCTGAAAACCCCCGGAGATGCCGAGCATCTCTTCTGTAGCCAGTCTCAGGCCGTTTTGCAGGGCTGCATTTTCACAGCAATCTCGCATGTGCTATATTTCAACTTGACGGACGAGGCAGCTCAGTGCCTATCCAGAAGAGCATTCTTCAATTCAGATGTGATAGTAAGACCATTAAATAAGGCTTTGTTGGTTTGGGACTTTCAGGCTAATTTGTGTGCTGATATTGAAGTATGTAAGAGTAGTCTGGTGCAGTTTCGTTGGTCTGGTAATACGCCTTCATGAGCAAGTCTTTGCTAGATGAAGTGGCATATGCGTACGTGCCTGGGAATCTTTTGTGGCTCCTGCGGCCGTTACTTAGCATGCTTGCCCTTGTTTGATAGCTGCAGTGCAGGCTGTTTAATATCCCTGCCCATGTGGCAGGTGCTTGGATCACTCTTAGAACCGCGTTTGGTGGACCCATGGCTGTAGAAAGAATGTTCTGCAGTATTTTATGTATGTCAGGTGTTTATCAGTTATTAAAAAAATGGCTATGGAAGACCTTGCCCTGAACTCTCGGGTAATAAATTAATTTTACTACCATCAAGAAAACTAGTTTAAAACATAAAGAACCTTCCTGGTGCTGAGCATCCTGATGTTTTTGCTGATTTTAGACAGGTGAAACATGGCACTGGGGTATCAGCTGCGGGTTAAATGGCGTTTTGTAGGGCTGACCTGCAAGTGCCATTCCTCATGAAACAGGTGGGTCTGGGACTGAAGGCATGGTATGGTCTTAAAAGCATTTACACAGTAATAACAAGTCTCTACGAGCCTTGGTATCTCTTTTCAAGACTAAGAAGTGCCTAAGCTTAACTTATTTTTTAAATACTATTCGGCTAGCATCTACTTAGCTTTTGGACCTTAGATAAATTCTGGTTAAGTGGAAGAAGCTAATAGATACTACATTAAAAAGAATTGTGTGAGAACTTGCTGTTCCTCAGATACTCAGCTTTTCTTTTTTTGTTGTAGGAAGAATTTGAAGCTGCTAAAAAATTTCTCTATTATGAAATGGGCTACAAAGTAAAATCAGATCAATTAACAGACAGCTCTGAAATCAGTCTAGCGCCTTCAGATATTGAAAGGTAAGTAAAGTAAAAGAGTTCCCTGGGCTGCTGGGAATTAATACCTGTCATTCTTCTCAGGGCAGTTTTTCCCCACTGATAATCCTTATCTTGCAGGTACAAGAAGCGATTCCACATGTTTGACAAGGACAAGAAAGGGTTTATTACTATACTGGATGTGCAGCGTGTCTTGGAGGTAATGTTTCCTGGTGCTCTTTTACTTTCCCTCTTTAAGCCTCTTATCTAAATTTCAGAGTGTGGCATAAATAGCGCTGAACAATCCAGTTGACAGACTTCTGTGTTGTTTTTTTTTTTTTTTTTTTTTGTCTAGAGCATCAGTGTGCAAATTGCTGAAAATACACTTCACGATATTCTGAATGAAGTGGATCTGAACAAAAACGGGCAGGTTGAGCTCAATGAGTTTTTGCAGGTGGGTGTTTCTTTGTTACGAGAGAAGCTGTAACTTCAGTGAACAAAGGCATAGGTATTTCATTTTTTTCCCTCCTTTTCTGAAGGACTGGGTAGGAGACTAGGTGGGTGTCCCTTGGGGGAACGCTGTAGTGTTGATGCTGTTTGTCAGGTTCCGAGATCAGCGACACACACAGTCATCCTCAAGCAACTTTGAAATTCAAGGATTTCCTTTCTTCATGTGCAGAAACAATTGGGCACAAAGAACAGGAGCAATTTACAAAGTATACCTCAGTGCAGACCTGGATTTGGCCTTTTTCATACAGAAATGCTCTTTGAATATATTCAAAATGATGAATTGTCCATCGGAAGGAACATTGCACAGTTACACACAGTGACATCTGTCTGGGCCTGTCAAGTGATTACTGCTTTCTAAACAATTTTTAATATTTTAAAGAATGAGCTTGTGGTTAAAGCACACCCAATCCGTGTAATCCCATTTTAACTCCTATTACCTCCGTTTGTATGAAAGACACTGACAGCCCACGCGTCTGCTTTCTGCAGGGCTTTACAATAAAATCAAGGGGGCTCCCGAAGCATCTGTTTGCCCAGCTCCTCTTGCATATGCGGTTTGCCAGCTTTGTTTTCCCGGAGCCTTTCTTGGTGTGGTATTTCAAGTGACTGCCATGTCTTTCCTGCGTGGTGGCAATGATGAATGCCGAACATGAGATAAATTAATGCTGGGGATTTTGGTCAATGTCAGCCCTTTCTTCACTGTGTCAAGTTAGACAAACAAGATCAAGGCAAAGGAAATGGTAATTGTCTCTCTCGAGATGAGCTGTAGATAAGAGCAGCATTGTTGAATCTAAATGCAGAAAATTTTCACAGGTTGTGTCCAGCATTAGAAAAAAGGACTATTTATTTGCCTAAAATGCACCCGTTTAGCTGGGCAGCTGAAATGCATTTGAGCAAAGAAAAAAAAAAAAAAAAAGAACCCAAAACAAAAGCAAAGAACAGACAGGGAGGGCGCGAAGAAACAATGGCTTTGGGAGTTTATCTATTCAAATATAAGAAAATCACAGCTGTTCTTCTGGCTGTTGAAAAGGGTCTCCCTCTTACATCCCTTTGCATGTGAAAACTTCGAACTGGCGGGGGGACCCACCCTTTAGTGTAAGGGCTGTGTGGAACTCTCCTTTGGTTCGTCTGGATACCTGGTGGTAAGGTTGAAACAACTAGTAATGATGTGTTCTGTGGGGTTCTGGTGGCTTTCAGGGGTTTTTGCTTTACTGTGCTGAATAGTCTCCTTGGGGGCTGCCTGCCCTAAGTCATAATATCTGTAAGATATAGAAGACAAGTCCGTTTTCGTATAGTTTCTCAGTTACTTTTGTAAAACTGTGTAACTGTGGCTCCTGGCTTCTCCTGTACATTTCCCAGTGCAATCTAAATGTTTAACTCTAGTGAGTGGCACTGCAGGAACCATCCCTTGTGCCGTGCCCCTCCTGCCTGTCCAGGCAGAGAGCAGCACACGGGGAGCTGCTGCGAAGAGTGGCAATAAAATTAACAGGAGGTTGCCATGGTAGGAACAAAATGTTTGGTTTTTGTTGTTGTTTTTTTTTTTTAATGGATCTGTCAAGTCAGTTCCCAGTACTTTAGTGTTTGCTTCCTGAAAACTTTCAAGTAATTGCATTTTACCACAGAATGCTTGTGGAAAGCCATGTGCAAATATTTGTGGACATTTATATTAGAATATAGGAACATGTTGTACCGGGGTGGCTGCGTAGCTCCAGGTGGGGAGCAGAGCAATGCCAAGTGCCTTCGTTGGGCCAGCTGCAGGTTGCCAGCAGAACTCAAACAGTGCTCTTGTGAGAACTGCTCCCAGCAGACACCGATGCTTGCCCGTGTGTCGCAAAGAGAATGTGGGCTGCATCGATCAGTGTTTAGTACAAACGGGTCATTCCACTGTGGCAGGGAGGCAGAGCCTCCAAAACGCACGGGGAGGTTTTCCAGCCTCAGCTGGGTCCATAGAGCGCGGGGTTCCCTCCTGTCCCTTTCCGCTCCTGGGTACCCGTTCCTGCTTTGGCAGGGTTGATACTGCATTTGCGTAGGTCCAGCTGCAGATGTAATTAATAGATTTTCCTATAGAGGGGAAGAAATCCGGGGGATTCTTACCCCTCAGTGGGAGTAAGAAATTGCATTTGGCGAGTGCCGATTGCTTTCCATGGCAGTCTTTGACAAGCTGACTGCATGTAATTTCAAGTCTAATGCTCACTTTATCCATGGGATAAAAAAGAATTAACTAAAATCTTAGCAGTAGTGTGTGTTCGTTAAGATAGAGCCGAGTCCAGTTTCAAGGACTTAAAGGCAAATTAGTTTTAAAAGTCTATAAAGGAATCTGGATTTGAAAGAACTGTGGAAGTCAAGTACGCTGTCTCTGCAAAGAAGGGCATCTGAACGAAAAAGGGCACGGTCCGGGGTCCGGGGTAGATCAGGAATGGTGTTGTGTTGGTTACATCTTTTAGATATTAAAAAAAAAAAAAAAAGGCCTGTGAAATGGATGGGTTATCGTACATTCTTAATGTCAGTGAAAACCCCCTGGTGTTGATGCCTGCCCGCACTGTTAGCTCCAAGGGGATCCCGTTTGGTACTTCCACTCTCCTGCCACCCCTGCCTGGCCAAAACTTTCACTGGTTTCTGGAAAATGTAAATGAGCTTTGAGGTGAGTCCTTGAAACCTGCAGCAGTTTGGCTTTATATATGGAAAAATCAGTTCTGGATGCTCATTAACCCTCGCTGGCGGCTCTTGGACACACCGTTAGCTCTGCTGTCACTTCGACGGGAGCTGGTCGGGGTCTGGTGCTGGTGGCCCCGGGCAGGACAGCCAGCAGTGTCCACGTACCTCCCGTGCGGAGGAGTTACAGCACCGGGCTGCGTGGCTCTGCTGGCGTCCTGCGCCCCGTGAGACGCCGGTGCAGGGCTTGGGTGCTGCCTGCCAGGGACTGGCGTCGGTGACCGTCACCTGCTGTCCCTCCGGCTGCTCACCGGCCTCTCCCTGAGACACCCCACGCTCCACTGTTGTTCTTTGTCTTGCCAGCAAGTTGACAGGATGCTCTCCCTCTTGTGCCCTCAGCTGATGAGTGCCATCCAGAAGGGCCACATCTCCGGGAGCCGGCTGGCCGTGCTCATGAAGACTGCCGAGGAGAATCTGCGTGAGAGGGTGGTGATCCCGGTGGACCGGAGCGGCGGAGGACTGTGAGCTCAAACAGGACGTGGGCTCACGGCCGCAGCTCACGGAGGTGTCCAGCTGCATCTCTGCTGAAAAACATTCCAGTGCTGCTGATTGTCGCTGCTTGTTCGA